AGAGTAACAAAAATCATGAGAACAGACTACCTTCCATAATGACAAGGCTACCATCCATTGGAATAACAAAAATATCGACAACACATTACCTTACATAATGACAAGGCTACCATCCAATGGAGTAAAAAAATATAGACAACAGACTACCTTCCATAATGACAAGGCTACCATTAATTGTAGTAAAAAAATCTCGACAATAGACTACCTTCCATAATGAAAAGGATACCATCCATTGGAGTAACAAAAATCTCAACAACAGACTACCTTTCATAATGACATGGCTACCATCCATTGGAATAACAAAAGTATCCACAACACACTAACTTCCATAATGATAAGGCTACCATCCCTTAGAGTAACAAAAATCTCGACAATAGACTAACTTCCATAATGACTAGGCTACCATCCATTGGAGTAACAAAGATATCGACAACAGACTACCTTCCATAATGAAAAGGCTACCATCCATTGGAATATAAAAAATATCGACAACACACTAGCTTCTATAATGACAAGACTACCATCCCTTAGAGTAACAAAAATCCTGACAACAGACTACCTTCCATAATGACAAGGCTACCATCCATTGGAGTAAGAAAGATATCAATAACATACTACCTTCCATAATGACAAGGATACCATCCATCAGAGTAACAAAAATCTCGACAACAGACTACCTTCCATAATGACTATGCTACCATCCTTTGGAGTAACAAAGATATCGATAACAGATTACCTTCCATAATGACAAGGCTACAATCCATTATAGTAACAAAAATCTCGACAACAGACAACCTTCCATAATGACAAGGCTTCCATCCATTGTAGTGACAAAAATCTCGACAACATACTACCTTCCATAATGACAAGGATACTATCCATTGGAGTAATAAAAATCTCGACAATAGACTACCTTCCATAATGACTAGGCTACCATCCTTTGGAGTAACAAAGATATCGATAACAGACTACCTTCCATAATGACAAGGCTACCATCCATTGGAGTAAGAAAGATATCGACAACATATTACCTTCCATAATGACAAGGCTACTATCCCTCAGAGTAAAAAAAATCAAGACAACAAACTACCTTCCATAATGACAAGGCTACCATCCATTGGAATAACAAAAATATCGACAACACATTACCTTCCATAATTACAAGGCTACCATCCAATAGAGTAACAAAAATATCGACAACAGACTACCTTCCATAATGACAAGGCTACCATCCATTGGAGTAACAAAAATCTCAACAACAGACTACCTTCCATAATGACAAGGCTACCATCCATTGGAATAACAAAATTATCCACAACACAATAACTTCCATAAGGACAAGGCTACCATCCCTTAGAGTAACAAAAATCTCGACAATAGACTACCTAGCATAATGACTAGGCTACCATCCATTGGAGTAACAAAGATATCGGCAACAGACTACCTTCCATAATGACAAGGCTACCATCTATTGGAATATAAAAAATATCGACAACACACTACCTTCTATAATGACAAGGCTACCATCCCTTAGAGTAACAAAAATCTCGACAACAGACTACCTTCCATAATGACAAGGCTACCATCCATTGGAGTAAGAAAGATATCGACAACATATTACCTTCCATAATGACAAGGCTACCATCCCTCAGAGTAACAAAAATCATGACAACATACTACCTTCCATAATGACAAGCCTACCATCCAATGGAATAACAAAAATATAGAAAACCAACTAACTTCCATAATGACAAGGCTACCATCCAATGGAGTTACAAAAATTTCGACAATAGACTACCGTCCTTAATGACAAGGCTACCATCCATTGGAGTAACTCAAATCACAACTACAGACTACCTTCCATAATGACAAGGCTACCATCCATTGTAGTAAAAAAAATCTCGACAACATATTACCTTCCATAATGACAAGGCTACCATCCATTGTTGTAACAAAAATCTGGACAACATACTACCTTCCATAATGACAAGGCTATCATCCATTGGAGTAACAAAAATCTCTACAACATACTACCTTCCATAATGACAAGGCTACCATCCCTTAGAGTAACAAAATTCTCGACAATAGACTACCTTCCATAATGACAAGGCTACCATCCATTGGAGTAACAATGATATCGACAACATATTACCTTCATAACGACAAGGCTACCATCCCTCGGAGTAACAAAAATCATGACGACAGACTCCATTCCATAATGACAAGGCTACCATCCATTGGAATAACAAAAATATTTAAAACTAATTACCTTCCATAATGACAAGGCAACCATCCAATGGAGTAACAAAAATATCGACAACAGACTACCTTCCATAATGACAAGGCTACCATCCATTGTAGTAACAAAAATCTCGACAATAGACTACCTTCCATAATGACAAGGCTACAATCCATTGGAATAACAAAAATATCCACAACACATTAACTTCCATAATGACAAGTCTACCATCCCTTAGAGTAAAAAAAATCTCGACAATAGACTACTTTCCATAATGACTAGGCTACCATCCGTTGGAGTAACAAAGAAATCGACAACAGACTATCTTCCATATTGACAAATCTACAATCCATTGTAGTAACCAAAATCTCGACAACAGACTACCTTCCATAATGACAAGGCTACCATCCACTGTAGTAACAAAAATATCGACAATAGACTACCTTCCATAATGACAAGGCTACCATCCATTGGAGTAACAAAAATCACGACAACAGACTACCTTCATTAATGATAAGGCTACCATCCATTGGAGTAACAGAAATCACAACGACAGACTACCTTCCATAATGACAAGGCTACCATCCATTGCAGTAACAAAAATCTCGACAACACACTACCTTCCATAATGACAAGGCTACCATCCATTGTTGTAACAAAAATATGGACAACATACTATCTTCCATAATGACAAGGCTATCATCCATTGGAGTAACAAAAATCCCGAAAATAGACTACCTTCCATAATAAAGGCTACCATCCATCGGAGTAACAAAAATCTTGACAAATGACTACCTTTCATAATGACAAGGCTATAATCTATTATAGTAACAAAAATCACGACAATAGACTACCTTTCATAATGACAAGGCTACCATCCATTGGAATAACAAAAATCTCGACAACAAACTACTTTCCATAATGACAAGGCTACCATCCCTTAGAGTAACAAAAATCTCGACAATAGACTACCTTTCATAATGACAAGGTTACCATCCATTGGAGTAACAAAGATATCGACAACATACTACCTTCCATAATGACAAGGCTACAATCCATTGGAATAACAAAAATATCGACAACACATTACCTTCCATAATGACAAGGCTACCATCCAATGAAGTAACAAAAATATCGACAACAAACTACCTTCCATAATGACAAGGCTACCATCCATTGTAGTAACAAAAATCTCGACAATAGACTACCTTCCATAATGACAAGGCTACCTTCCATTGGAGTAACAAAAATCCCGAAAATAGACTACCTTCCATAATAAAGGCTACAACCCATTGGAGTAACATAAATCTCGACAAAAGACTACCTTTCATAATGACAAGGTGTAGTGGTGATAATCGGAGATCAAGCTATTAATTAACTTGACTCGCAAATAGAAAGAGTCGCCACCGCGCTTTATTATTTCCAAGGGAAAAGGGAAAAGAGTGAAATAAAACCCTAAAATATGCAATGTAAAATAATATTTAAAAGTAATAAAAATACAATGCATTTTGAAAAGAGATCTAGAGTTCGGGGGTTGGTTATGCAATGGGAAGGTATTAGAACCCAATGCATCTATAGTATCCTATAGGAACCTTTTGAAATATCTGTTTATTAAAATTATTTGTTTGATTAAAATGGTTTGTTTGGTCAAAATGGGTGTGGACGAGATTTTGAAGATACGACGACCTAGTGTCGAATTTTTGGCTTAAAAAGTTGTGTGAGTTTTAAAATTAGGGTTTTAGAAGAGATTTGTTTTTATATTAATAAAACAAACAAAAAAAAATACAAAGGGGTTTTCGCACAATTGTATTAAATATATTTGATGACATGAAGTCAATGAATTCAATTTTTCTCTTGGAGTTAGACAAACAAAATATAAAGACTAAATGATCGAAAATGGAAAATAACAATTTAAATAATTAAATAATTAACAACAAAAATTAATAAAAATAAATAAAAGACAAAATTAAACTAATATATTTTTATGGTATTTTTTATGAGGCGAAGAAAAAAACTAAATATAAACATATTCTAATACTTTTTATATTTTTGTATAGTTTAATAATAATAATAATAAATATCATAAAAAAATAAAATAAAATAACTAAAATAAAATTAAATCATAAGAAACTAAGCTGGTTAGTTACATAGAAAATATTAAATAAAAAAAAAGTTAATTATTAGTATGAGGCATTAGACAAAGATAATAAATCTTAAATATAAAAAAAAAAGATAAATGATAACATAACATAAAAGAGTAGTAAGAAAAAAAATAGAAATTTAAAAATAAAATAAAATAAAAATAGGGTGGAGGCACGTGGGATGTGGAACCACCCCTTATTTATAACGTGATATCTTTTGTTTTATATTAAAAATTAAACTAACAAAAATGTGGAAAAAAAATAGTATATTTGACTCTTTCAAACTTAAAAAAAAAGGGGAAAGGTTAGCAAATGATGCACGAGGGCGGTGCCTGATATCTCTGTGAAGAGATTTTCTTGAATTTTTCAAGCCATCTAAATGGCCATCCGTTACGCGACACGTGGCAGTGATTTAACATAAAAAATAAAAATAACGAAAATGATGAAGCATCTATATAAAATACCTATGAGTATTACTAAAAACGCAAAGGGGACAACAAGTTTACTTTCTTGGTTTTCACTTTAGTTTCTAATAGTCACATTCAAATGTATCAACAAGTTGCACACTCCAGTTTCAACAAGTATATTTATATTAAACTGGAAAATTATAACCAAAAAAAATGAAAGAACAACTTACAATCAGAAACACGGAGGCTTCTCTAAGAGCAGCGACGGTGGTTCGACTGGGAGGAGCTATGATTTTCGGTCTAAGGGGTGCTTCACGGGTGGTTGTGGAAGTAGATCGAGGCGGATCAAAGCGAGCATGGGTGAGAGTGTCGCTGATGTTGCGTGTCTGTCGGTTGCTAACGAGTGTAGCTCTGGTAAGATTTCGGCGACGACGGTGTTACAAGCAAGGTGATAATGGTATCAGTGGAGTTGTGAGTATATGTACAAAGATTTTAAGGTGACTTCTTTTCTACTGAATTTCTCTTTGTTTTATCTTGAATTTCTTCTATGTTGAGTGAAGTATTTGGATGACAGAAACTTTTATTTGGTGTAAGCAAAAAATATTTAGAGTTCCAAAATTTTGTCTTGTTTCTATGTGTTTTTGAACTAGTTTGGAGGTATATTTTTGTATGATAAGTTCTCTCCTATAATTTTCTATGTTACAGGTGAATATTTTGAGAAGGTTTGAACTGTATGAAGGTTATGGAGAGGGAGGATTGAAGGTGGTTTTTTTGTGTATTTGGGAAGAGAGTTTGAATAGGGGTTTCTTCTAATTTTTGCTGTGTATTTTTCTTGTGTAATATCTCCTCCTTGCTCTTCACCATTTGCTTATGTTTTTATAGTGAATTTATGATAGAATCGGAGGGAAAATTGGAGCCAAATATCACTTGAATTCTAGTTTATGTCAACTACCTTATGCTTTCTTGATGCAGGGATTTATTGTTTCATTTTGGGCAAGTTTTTGGACAACAAAGATAGTAAAAAGGCTATTTGTAGCCTGGTTTTTTATGCAGGTTTTGGAGTGAAGTAGCAACAAGCTTGGGGCCTTTCGGACAACAAATTTGGACTGTTTTATTTGGTTACTTATGCAGGGATAGGGACTGGTTTTGCAAGTTCAAAAAATCTGGTTTTGGGACCACAATTTTATTGGACATAAAACAATAAAATAAAGACAATAGTAATAATAATGATAAAAGGCAACTTGTTAGTAATACAAAACAGAATAATAATAATAATAATAATAATAATAATAATAATAATAATAATAATAAGATGCAAACAAAATTAATTTTAATTTAATTTTCATATTAATTCAATTTTAAAAATTGAATTAAAATTATAATCAAATCAAAATTAATATTGAATTAAAAGAAACTAAAACTATAATGACCAAAAAGAATAAAAAAATGTAAAATAAAGGAAAAGATATTAACTATATTTTTTGAGATTTTTTGGATTAAAATCTTTACTAAAATAAAAATCTAAATGAAACCAATAAAATTATAAAAAAATTTTGATATTTTTTTTGAATTAAGAATTGCGAATTTAAAATACTATAATGCTAATTATAAATATTTTTGTGATTTTTCTAATAATGTGATAGTATAAAGTGACATGAACTAAAATACATATTTTTTAGATTTTTTTCAAATAAGACAAAAATGATAAATAAAAGACGAAAAAATATGCGCTATGCACGATTTGGTAAAGGTTGGACAAGACATGATCAAATTTCATTAAATTCATAAAGCGACTTCTAACGTTTTCATTCTTTCGTGGCATTTCAAAAATAATCAGCTCTTTACTTGTAAAGAAAAGTTGTGGATGTTGTCAAGGAGAATCATATGTAAAAGAACCACTAAAAATGTCGAAATTTGAAGAAGTTATGAATTTTTGAAATCTGACTCGAGAAATGGCAAAAATAGGTCAAATTGCTTGTGAACACTTGCTATGTAATGACACAGATGGGAGGTGGGATCTTAGGTCAAAAATTGGGGTATAACACAAGGCTACAATCTATTATAGTAACAAAAATCTCGACAATAAACTACCTTTCATAATGACAAGGCTACCATCCATTGGAATAACAAAATTCTCGACAACAAACTACTTTCCATAATGACAAGGCTACCATCCCTTAGAGTAACAAAAATCTCGTCAAGAGACTACCTTTCATAATGACAAGGTTACCATCCATTGGAGTAACAAAGATATCGACAACATACTACCTTCCATAATGACAAGACTACAATCCATTAGAATAACAAAAATATCGACAACACATTACCTTCCATAATGACAAGGCTATCATCCAATGAAGTAACAAAAATATCGACAACAGACTACCTTCCATAATGACAAGGCTACCATCCATTGTAGTAACAAAAATATCGACAATAGACTCCCTTCCATAATGACAAGGCTACCTTCCATTGGAGTAACAAAAATCCTGAAAATAGACTACCTTCCATAATAAAGGCTACAACCCATTGGAGTAACAGAAATCTAGACAAAAGACTACCTTTCATAATGACAAGGCTACAATCTATTATAGTAACAAAAATCTCGACAATAGACTACCTTTCATAATGACAAGGCTACCATCCATTGGAATAACAAAAATCTCGACAACAAACTACTTTCCATAATGACAAGGCTACCATCCCTTAGAGTAACAAAAATCTCGACAATAGACTACCTTCCATAGTGACAAGGATACCATCCATTGGAGTAACAAAGATATCGACAACATACTACCTTCCATAATGACAAGGATACCATCCGGTAGAGTAACAAAAATCACGACAACAGACTACCTTCCATAATGACAAGGCTACCATCCATTGGAATAACAAAAATCTCGACAACAGAATACCTTCCATAATGACTAGGCTACCATCCATTGGAGTAAGAAAGATATCGATAACATACTACCTTCCATAATGAAAAGGATACAATCGATTGTAGTAACAAAAATCTAGACAACAGACTACCTTCCATAATGACAAGGCTACCATCCATTGTAGTAACAAAAATCTCGACAATAAACTACCTTCCATAATGAAAAGGCTATCATCCATTGGAGTAACAGAAATCTCGACAACATACTACCTTCCATAATGACAAGGCTACCATCCATTGGAATAACAAAAATAACGACAACACACTAACTTCCATAATGACAAGGCTACCTTCTATTGGAGTAACAAAAATCCTGAAAATAGACTACCTTCCATAATAAAGGCTACAACCCATTGGAGTAACAAAAATCTCGACAAAAGACTACCTTTTATAATGACAAGGCTACAATCTATTATAGTAACAAAAATCTCGACAATAAACTACCTTTCATAATGACAAGGCTACCATCCATTGCAATAACAAAAATCTCGACAACAAACTACTTTCCATAATGACAAGGCTACCATCCCTTAGAGTAACAAAAATCTCGACAATAGACTACCTTCCATAATTACAAGGCTACCATCCATTGGAGTAACAAAGATATCGACAACATACTACCTTCCATAATGACAAGGCTACCATCTATTCGAATAACAAAAATATCGACAACACATTACCTTCCATAATGACAAGGCTACCATCCAATGGAGTAACAAAAATATCGACAACAGACTACCTTCCATAATGACAAGGCTACCATCCATTGTAGTAACCAAAATCTAGACAATAGACTCCCTTCCATAATGACAAGGCTACCTTCCATTGGACTAAGAAAAATCCTGAAAATAGACTACCACCCATAATAAAGGCTACAACCCATTGGAGTAACAGAAATCTCGACAAAAGACTACATTTTATAATGACAAGGCTACAATATATTATAGTAAAAAAAATCTCGACAATAGACTACCTTTCATAATGACAAGGCTACCATCCATTGGAATAACAAAAATCTCGACAACAAACTACTTTCCATAATGACAAGGCTACCATCCCTTAGAGTAACAAAAATATCGACAATAGACTACCTTCCATAATGACAAGGCTACCATCCATTGGAGTAACAAAGATATCGACAACATACTACCTTCCATAATGAGAAGGATACCATCCGGTAGAGTAACAAAAATCACGACAACAGACTACCTTCAATAATGAAAAGGATACAATCGATTGTAGTAACAAAAATCTCGACAACAGACTACCTTCCATAATGACAAGGCTACCATCCATTGTAGTAACAAAAATCTCAACAATAAAATACCTTCCATAATGACAAGGCTATCATCCATTGGAGTAACAAAAATCTCGACAACATACTACCTTCCATAATGACAAGGCTACCATCCATTGGAATAACAAAAATATCGACAACAGACTAACTTCCATAATGACAAGGCTACCATCTCTCAGAGTAACAAAAATCTCGACAACAAACTACCCTCCATAATGACAAGGCTACCATCCATTGGAGTAACAAAGATATCGACAACATACTACCTTCCATAATGACAAGGCTACCATCCATTGGAGTAACAAAAATCACGACAACAGACTACCTTCCATAATTACAAGGCTACCATCCATTGGAATAACAAAAATCTCGACAACAGACTACCTTCCGTAATGAAAAGGTTACAATCCATTGGAGTAACAAAGATATCAACAACATACTACCTTCCATAATGTCAAGGATACCATTCATTGGAGTAACAAAAATCACGACAACAGACTACCTTCCATAATGACTAGGCTATCATCCATTGGAGTAAGAAAGATATCGATAACATACTACCTTCCACACTGAAAAGGCTACCATCCAATGGAGTAACAAAGATATCGACAACACACTAACTTCCATAATGACAAGGCTACCATCTCTGAGAGTAACGAAAATCTCGACAACAGACTACCCTCCATAATGACAAGGCTACCATCCATTGGAGTAACAAAGATATCGACAACATACTACCTTCCATAATGACAAGGCTACCATCCATTGGAATAATAAAAATCACAACAACAGACTACCTTCCATAATGACAAGGCTACCATCCATTGGAATAACAAAAATCTCGACAACAGACTACCTTCCGTAATGATAAGGTTACTATCCATTGGAGTAACAAAGATATCAACAACATACTACCTTCCATAATCACAAGGATACCATCCATTGGAGTAACAAAAATCACGACAACAGACTACCTTCCATAATGACTAGGCTACCATCCATTGGAGTAAGAAAGATATCGATAACATACTACCTTCCATAATGAAAAGGCTACCATCCAATAGAGTAACATAGATATCGACAATAGACTACCTTCCATAATGACAAGGCTACCATCCATTGGAATAACAAAAATATCGACAACCCACTACCTTCTATAATGACAAGGCTACCATCCCTTAGAGTAACAAAAATCTCGACAACAGACTACCTTCCATAATGACAAGGCTACCATCCATTGGAGTAACAAAAATCTCGACAACA